GTTCCATGGGATTCAATGTCCTCTTCTGACCTCCATGGGCATTGTATGACAAAGATACATTAACACATATGTAAGCAATATACTCATACACATTAAATTAAAAAAACCTCAAAAAAGCCAGGTGTAGTGGTACACATCTTTAATCCCAGCACTTGGGAGGCAGAGGCAGGCAGATCTCTGTGAGTTCAAGGCCAGCCTGGTCTACAAAGTTCTAGGCCAGCTGGGGCTCCTGGGAGACCCTGTCTCAAAAATAAATAAATAAAAATTAAAAAAAGCTTTACCTCTCCGATACAACTACTGTAGCTTGAATATTGTTCTTGTTTTTCTCACAGTATTTAACAGTTTAAGAAAATAAAAATGCCACAGATCTACAGGCAGTACTCATTTTTTTTTAAATTTTCATTTTTTTATGTATGTGTGTGTATTGCCTGCATGTATGTAAGTGCACCCATGTCATGCAATGCACACAGAGGTCAGAAGAAGGCACCAGATTCCTCTGGAACTGGAGTTAGAGATGGTTGTTAGCCAACATGTGGGTTCTGGGAATCGAACCTGGGTCCTCTGCAGGAACAGCCAGTGTCAGTACTTTTTAAAATATATATATTTTATCTTTTAGAAGAAGCATTTCATTACAGCTTTAACATACTCAATAACAATTCCCAGAACAAAGATACATCTCTTTCAAAAGTGGCTATAAGCTGGGTATGGTGGTGCATGCCTTTAATCCTAGCACTCAAGAGACAGAGGCAGGTGGAGTCCTGTGAGTTCAAGGCAAGCCTGGTCTACATAATAAGTTCCAGGCCAGCTGGGGCTACAGAGAGACCCTGTCTCAAAAAGATTAAAAAAACAAAAACAAAAAAACCCCAAACAAACAGTCAAAAAACCCCCACAATTTAGAGCTGAGAAGCTAGCTCTACCAGTACTGTGCTTTCCATGCAGGCATGAGGGCCTGAACCCAGCACCATGGAAAAAAGTCAGGGACCCAGTACTGGGAGACAGGATGATCGCTGAACTTTTCTGGCCAGCTAGTCTAGCCAAATGGTGACAATTTAGGTTTAGTGAAAGAACTTGGCTCAAAATATAAGGTATACAGCGACTGAGGTAGATACCCAATGTCAACCTCTGGTTTTCACACATCCATGCACACACAAACACATCTGCACATATGCACACACAAATTCACACATAAATACACACAGAACAAGAGAAAAAGACAATTTAAAACCAGAATGACTGATAAAGTTACCCAATATGTTAAGTAGGTCTATAGTTACTAGAGAATAACGTTCTAGGATCTTAGGTATAACTATGAGATTCTTTCAAACATTCAGATCAAGAATTGTGTGACATTTTCACAGAAGGCCACAAACGGCCAAGTTTTAGAGAACAAGAGACTGCAGGGTGTGTGTAACTGGATAGGACTCCTATATTAAACCTTACCCATTCATTACTCAGGGACCACTGTGGAAGAGGGGGTGGAAAAATCGTAAGATCTAGGGTAGGTGCATGAACATAAGGAAACACAGGTGTTCAGGCCTCTCGGAACTTGTTCACATGAATTTGCAACAATGGTGACAGCAGGCATAAGACCCATGCCGACTCAATAAGACAAAAACCCAACATAGAACAAGGGAAATGGGCAGCAGGCCTCAACCCTAGGTGAGGAACTACTGACAACTGATTACTATGGGGTGAGGGTACTATGGGGTGAGGGAGAGTAGATCTTCTTTAAGGGAATGACTCTATATAGGCTGACTAGACTCCAGTGGATGAACTTGCACCGAGGGTCGTCTGGGTACAAATGGTTGATATAATAGGACTTAACATATTTGACAGAAAGCATGAAATCTGGTGGTGGCGGTGGGTGCTGTGAAGGACACAGATGGAGGAGGGGGTCTAAATTCAATTAAGATCTATCATATGAAATGCACAAAAATTCAATAAAAAGTGTGACATTCAATAAAAACTGTGACATTTTATATTATTTAAAAATAATAGTTATTTAGATGTTTGACTTTAACAAAAGAAAACCAACTAGAATAAGACAAAATAAAAATATTTTAGGGTTAGAGGTATAGTTCAGCAGCAGGGTATATGCTTAGCATGTACAAGGCCTTGGGTTAAACACTCAGCACTACAAAAACTAATAAAATAAAATAAACCGTTTAGCATTTTAGAAAGAGAATTATATACACAGAAAAAATGTTAAATTTATTTTATTCATTCATTCACTCATTCATTCATTTTGAGACAGGGTCTCCCTGTATCCCCAGCTGGCCTGGAACTCACTATGTAGACCAGGCTGGCCTTGAACTCACAGAGATCCACCTGCCTCTGCCTCCCAAGTGCCTCCACCATGCCCAGCCCAATAATGTGAAATTTAAATGTTTTGTTTTTAAATTCTTTTACTGTCATTTTAACTTATTTATTAATTCATGTAGGCAATGATAATTTTCTGAGAACCCACTGGTTCTAATCAAAGAATGGGTGATAAATGGCAAATAAGACAGAGTCTGACCCACATACATCTTTACAAAAACATTTATTATTATTTTTTATGCATTTGAGTGTATTGTCTGCATGTGTGTAAGTGTACCTGTGTTGTGCAATGCCCATGGAGATCAGAAGAGGGTGTCGGATCCCCTGGAACTGGAGTTATGGATAGTTGTTAGCTGCCATGTGGGTGCTGGGAATTGAACTTGGGTCCTTTGCAAGAGCAGTCAGTGCTCTTAATCACTAAGTCATATCTCCAGGCCCCATATACATCTTATCTTATATTCTAGTAGGAGACAAAACATATACATGGTAAAAAAAAAAAAATGGAGTTCTAGAGGTGGTACTTTTTTAGGGGGGAGGGTCTTTATTGAGACAGGGTCTCCCTGTAGCCCCAGCTGTCCTGGAACTCACTCTGTAGACCAGGCTGGCCTTGAACTCACAGAAATCCACCTGCCTCTGCCTCCCAGTGCTGGGATTAAAGGTGTGCGCCACCACGCCTGGCTAGAGGTGGTACTTTTAAAAAGTTAGATTTAAGTGTTCTAGAGCTGAATAACAAATAGGAACCACTCACTACCTGGCAGAACAGCAAGGTTAAGGACTTGTTTTGGAGTAATGTGGCAGTTTGAATGAAAATATCCCCCATACGCTCCAAGTGTTTGGACATTTTGTTCCCAGATGATGGTGCTGTTTTGCGAGGTTTTAGATGGTGTGCCTATCCTGGAGGAAGCCAGATCTCCAGTCTCCCTCTTGCTTCCTGTGCCTGTGTGATGATGTGAACTGAGCTTAGCTTCCGTTACTCCTCCAGCCACCTCTGCCACCATGCCTCCCTGTCATGACGGACCATAATTCCCCTGGAACCGTAAGCTCAAATAAACTCTTCCTTATATAATTTGCTTGAGTCAGTGTTTCTATCACAGCAACAGAAAAGTGACTAATACAAGTAATAAGGCTAATATGAAAAATACAGTGTGTAAGGGGCAAACTGCATAAGAGAAACTTGGAGGGTAGGTAGAGGTGAGGGAATGCAGGACCATTATATCATGATGAGAAGTCAGGAGTTTATTATATTACAGTGAGAAGCATAGATAGTTAGATAAGATCTGGCTTAGTTTGTGAAAAGATGAGTGGCTGCTCTGTGGAGACCATACTGGTAGTATTATATCGGATATTATGGGTATAATTTCATAAATAGATGTACAAATTCTATTATTAGTTAGAATAGAGGGTGTCAACAGATTTGGATAATAAGTTAGGAGAAAAAAGACACCAAGAAAAATGTTAGTGCATAAAATTTAGCAGAGTTACAGAAAGTAAGCGCTGGAAGCAACTCAATGGTAACTAGGTTAGTAGATCCCAATTATGGTTATGCATCTTGTTAGGCCCATGCCACAGAGCAAAATACAAACTAGTAAGCTATTCTATGAACTGTGTGATGTTAGGCCCTGTTTTAAGAACCTTACATACACATTAACAAAGATACATACCCATTTAAGCATCTCTATAATCCCATGAGTTGGGATTATCTCTATTGTATAGATGTAATGAATCACAAAAAAGTTAATTTGTCAATGTCACACAGCTGAAGGGTATAAAAATCCCAACCAGACAACATTTCACAGAAACCAAAATAACCAATACATACACTGTTGTTACATGCAGGGAATTCATCTTTAGACTTTGCACCAGAGCCTCTCATTTTCTAGATTAAACTTCTATTTCCATTAATATTTACTTATGTAATTTTATTTGTTCTTGGGATGGAACTCAGTGCCTCAGACATTCTAAGCAAGTGCTTTAACATTTAGCCACATTCCCAGCACCACTCCTATTTGCTAAATGCTATCTCACTGATAATCCCAGAAATGTGCTAAGAAACATTATTGTAATCTTAAAGAAATAGTTTGAAGAGGGAGGGGTAAAGCAAGTTGGGATCAGGGCCAGCATATGAATCTCAATCTCTAAAAATCCTGGTTACTCGACTCTGTTGGTGCAATGTATGCTGTATTCCTATGTAACATATTTCCATTAAATCTCAAAGTTCACTTTGACAAACTACAATCATTCTTCTTTTCTGAATTAGCTCATCAGAATCTTTTAAACTGAATTTCTTAGGTCTAATTTTACATATACAATACTAGAGAATAGCTCTGCTGACAGAAGTTATGGTTGGTATGATTAGTATTTGAATGAAGATGCATAGGACTTATTTACATATATCATAACATTACTTTTTGACACTCTGGTTACAATAATAAATAGCTACTATTATTCAAACAACTGGCATTCAATCACTAAAAAAGATAATTAAAACCTCAACCAAGAAAACTAACAGATACATTCATTTATATTCCAGCATTTAGTTACCATTTTTAACCTTTGGTTTGCTTATGAAAGTCAGAAAATCACGACAAACCTGTATTCTGGAAAAAAATTATGATAGCCAATGCTTTGGGAAAAAGAACCCATTAATTTAAAAGCATATTATTCTAGAAGTACATACTTACTTCTGCTTTTTTACGAGCTTCCATAGCTTTCATAAGCATCATATGTTGTCGCCTTCGCTCCCGTTCCTATTAGGCCAGATAAAATTGGGAGAATAATTCAAACACAGCTAACAATGTGGTTTTCAAATGGAAAACAACAACAACAACAACAACAACAACAACAACTCAATATAGCAATGTTTAGCATTTATAGACAAGTCACAGTAAATACTAAATATAAGACAAGAATGGCCAATCTGTGCATGTTTTAGTTCAGGTTTAGAAAGCAAATACAAGAACAATCAAAAGCAAAAAGGTAAAGCAATGAACATGGAGACAGTGTAAACAGAAGCATACAAGATTTACTTATGGTCAGTTGTGATGCTCCTTCAAAAGCTGGCAGAACAAAAAGCATAATGGTTGGCTGGAACAGGTCAGTTACCTTACATCTGCTATTAGAAAAACCACAAAATACTATAGCCAATTGCATTAAAGGTTGCATTGCTCTTAAATTTTAAGGTCAGGTAGAAATCGATCCATAATCACTTTTACATCATGGTTTTTAGAATTAATTTCATATTCAAGTACAAAATCATTTTGTAAATCCAATAATTCACCAAAAAATTAAAAAGATTTTTAAGTGTTTATACCAATTTACAAAGTTAAACTAGTCTTGACTCATATACATATATCAATGAAATGTGATATTCCTATTTACTGATGTCTGCCACTTGATGCACTATTTAAAGGCACAAAAGCTGCATCATGGGCTAAGAGGTGTAATCTAAAACACCCAGCATGAAAAATAAGGTACATATGCCAAAAATTAATGTTATTAATAGCTAATCAACTTTTTAGTTCAGATACATTTGGTCCCTTTTCTAAAATTTGTCTAAAAAAACCAGAATGCATTTCATATTCTCTCAACAAGCAAATCCAAAATTCCCATTGTACTCAATGGCAGTTTTGCATCTACAATGATGGGAGAACATGGGTCATAATTGTGTCTAAATAGATGATGATTCAACTTTTCTTGTGACATCAGTAATATACACTTTTAGACAGAAGTTTTATGCAATCCAATGGAAAATCTTAAGAGATGTATCACACTTCTTTATAGACAGACAAGCAGATGTATGCAATGCACTGCGCTGTAAAGCCATGCAGCAATATGTAATATGACAGCAGCCAGTGCTACACTTTATGCATTGCTATGACAACCATATCACAACCAAATCACAATGCGGTGTTAGATGTACAAAAATAAACATACCCATACCATATCTAGTCTATGCCTCTCCAACTCCTGGTAGAAAGAGTTGGCACAACATTATGAAATAGAAATCACAGAGTCATAAAACCAATTTTAACCCCCCCAAAGACCCCAATACCAAAGCAAGGCAATAAACTGTAAGATGAAAGCAAAACTGAAGCAGGAATTGTATCAGAAAATTTAAAGAACATATTCTGAAGATCCACCCCCCACCTCCCAGTTAAGCAAGTTATAAACTACTTTCCACTGGTTGTGTAACTATACATATACAGACCTGATGCTTCAGAAGAACAGCTTGTTGGCGTCTCATTTCTTTTTCCTTAAAAATAAGAAACTTTTGATATATGATTTTCAGGGAAGATATAGAATATACTAGAAGTATTAAAAGGTTCCTTTTCTGATAATTTTATAGCTTTTTCATAAGTTTAGCCATCAAAATTTTCACTATTCAGCTTTTTTAAACTTACAGAATAGTAACTCAGTTTGATATGGCTCTACCTAATAGATAACGTAAATGTAAACATGGTATGATAAAGTAGCAAGGATGTTTCTCCAGTAGACATTTCAACTTAAAATTCAATGGACAACATAACAACATACTTCAATGGCACATTCACTAAACTGACTGTCAGAACATATTAGATACAAATCAAACATGTATTTTTAAAATTACTTCAATAAATTATGGTGTAACTCTCAAAACTAGCTGACTAAAGCCTTTCCATACTCTAAACATTAGCTCCCAAATACATTGTGCAATTAAACAGCATCTACCTCATTTATATATAAATGACTTCAATGATGATCACATTCAGATTTCCAAATAATATGGTTCACAGCACCAACCCAAAGGGATGGGACAGAATACAAAAAATTATATAAGACTGCTACCTGATCACTATTTTTTAAAAGGCAAAATGTTTTGGAAATTAATATTGATATAAAAAGGTATAGAAAGATAAAGAATAAAGTAAGGCAGCATACATTTGAATGATAGCATTAGAGATACAGTTCAGAGGTAGAGAACTCTAATGTATTAATTTACATTAAATAATACATAATGAACTCTGAGTTTTCCTATCTCCATGTACTGTCTGTCAAGTCAAGCATCTTGTTTATTTTAACAGAATGGAGACCTATAATCTCTTCTGAAGCACATTTTGACTATCAACATCATGCTATCAAATGTGAGCTTATGGCTTAGCATGTGTGAGTCTCTGAGTCCCTAAGCACTACCTCTGTGACGCCCTTGAACAAAAACAAGCAAATAACAGGAGTTTCATGGCTCCATAAGGGAGAGCTCTGTTTGTACCATCAGGCTCACTCAGCTGCCCTCTTTTAGAGTTTAATAGAACAGGAAAGTGGGGGAAGAACATCTCATGCTTCAATTTAGAAAATCATCATCAGTATACTTCCAAACATTTTGTTACAATAACAATGACTAATTTTATTATGAAATAACAGTTGAAAGAGCTTTGTTTCTATCTGCCTGTATGTATGTATGTATGTATGTATGTATGTATGTATGTATGTATGTATGTTAGGGTCTTGCTATGGGGTTGGTCTTGAATTCTCAGTCCTCCTGAGTCAGCCTCTTGAGTGCTGGGGTTACAGGTGTGCAACAGCATACATAGCTTATGCATTATGCTTTTCATTTTTAATAGCTAAAACAGTTACTAGACATTAACAGAGTTATAATGGGAGAGTCAAATCTGGGACACAGTTTGAAGGATGAACATAAATGGCCAATCAACTAGTTTGGGAGGTCATTCTTATCAAACAAAACTTCTTTCCAGGTGTCATGCAATAGTTTGCATTTCTGATTTGATGTCTTCTATTTACAAATATCAACAATATCACATAAAACTTGTATCATGAAATAAAATACATAGAATATACATACAAATAAAAGCACACATTTACACATGTTGTATCTCCTATACATATTTAAATAGTGTTTGAGAAAAGCTTTTTTTCATGACTGTTACATAAAGTTTTTATTTTTGAAAAATAAAAACTCTGATTCTCATCTAAACTAACCTTTATTCGTTTCTCGGCCTCCAATAATTTGGCATTTGCCGCTTCTTCTTTCTTTTTCTTTTTAGCCTGTGCATGCAAAACAGGTCTCAAAGTCATGCAACAATGCCACTAAGACTTGCAAATAATCTCAGACTTGAAATGAAACTACATGCCTCACAAAGTACAAAACAAGTATGCAACATATATGCAGACAATTACAAGATGTCCCCACCTCACATTTTGTTTCCAACTTACAGATTAACATTAAGACATACAAAGAAATCTTGAAAGTCATAAGATAATGACATTTTTCTTCTATAAGCAGTTAGAAGTCTGAAATAACTGAATATTTTATTTTGACAATTACAGAAAAATGTCATTTACTGCATTTTAAAAATAATTTGAAAAGAAAATTTACTTCCTGAAGAAATTTAAAAAGTAGAATTGATTTTAATGGATAAATACTATTTCAACAACAAACAACACTTTTAAAGTACATGTGCCTACTTTATTTGAAATTTCTCTTAATACTTGGCATTTTAGATAAATAAATCCATTAAATAAAACATAATGAACTCTGAGTTTTCCTACTGCGTATATTGTCTTTCAAGTCAAGCATCTTGTTTATTTTAACAGAATGGAGACCTGTAATCTCTTCTGAAGCACAATTTGACTATCAACATCATGCTATCAAATGTGAGCTTCATGGCCTTAGCATTAGTTGCCTTCTAGGAGCCTCATAATTATCCACTAGTTATTGTTTTAAGACACAAATATTCTTCATTTGGGAGTTTCAAAATTAATTTAAACTGGGAGAAGGAATATGTGAGTATTTCTAGAAAGAAAAAAAAAAATTGGAATGTGAAAAGGCTCAGCTATCTGGTGAACTCAGACAACAAACTATTCCACAAAGCAACAGTTCCCTGAATAGCCAAGGTTATAATAATTTTAAAAATTAAAAGTTCATCTTCACTATATTAGATGGAGCTAATTTGAAGACCTCTGCCTGTTTAGACAAAGCACAATTTGCCTTTGTCTTGATGACTTGAGGCACTGTTTTGAGCATTGGTTATTATACTGCACAATTTGATAGAATAGTGCTTTGTGCTGCTAAAGTGCTAAAAATCACCTACTATTCATAAGTAACTTTAAACTTTGCTAGGATTTTGAGTTCCTATGCATTCTAGCTTGAGTTCTCTTGCTGTTTTTTAGGTATTATGCTTTTGTTGCAAACACATACTCTGCATTCTAATTCTACTCAGCTTATAGGGAAGAAAGACATGATAGGAACTGGGCTATGGAAACTATTTCTGCATCTTCAGTTTAATTTTAATTTCATAAACATGTGTTTCTAAATGAAAAGAAAATGTTTAAATTCAAAGAACTTTCTGAAAGCAGACAGCATGAGCTCCATGAGGGCCACATTGCCACCCAGAGGTTCATCTCTGTCTTTTGTATACTCTCCTTCTGACTCACTTTCTGGCTTCTTAGAACCAGGATTAGATGAACTTGCTAAAAATTCCATTTAGGCATTTTTGAAGAGAAATTCTGATGGATGAATTTATTTATATAGATGGGGAAACATAAGCATTTTTGTTTCTTTCTTGTACATTAAATTATATGAATATATTGTTTCAATTATATTAAGATAAGAATTCTACCTCTAGAATTTGCTGAGCTCGAAGTTCTTTTTCCATTCTGATTTGCTGTATTCTCTTAATTTTTTCCTGTAGGAAAAATTATAAAATTTGAGATAATAAAATAAATATTTAAGTAAAAAGTTTTAGTTAGAATCAAATAATTTAAGACATAAGGACAAAGTTATCAAAGGCTCTCAATGCTGAATCTAAAATTCAGTTATCTCCTATATGATGATATATATATTTTCATGTCTAAAAGTCATATGATTTTAGAAAATTTCTCATAATCATAAAATATAAATGCTAAATGAATATACAGAAATAAAGCAAGGTTTATTTACATATATAGCCAAAAGTCTTTACAATTATTTACTTAAATACATAGAAAATACAGAAATAGAGAAAAGTTATAAAGCTAATTATGGGCTACTACCCCTTACTGAATGACCTTGTACAAATTATAACTATTATTCTATAAAATCATTTGAGATGCTTGCCTTTGCCACTGTCATGATTAAATAAAAACTGCCTTAAAAATAATTATAGCTGGTACACTCCTTTAATCCCAGCACTTGGGAGGCAGAGGCAAGCGGATCTCTGTGAGTTCAAGGCCAGCTTGGTCTACATAGCGAGTTCCAGGCTAGCTGGGGCTACAGGGAGACCCTGTCTCAAAAAAAATAAAAGAGAGATTATTACAAAAAAAAAAATGTGCCTTCTTAAAATTCTTTATTTCACATGTTGATAACATAAAATGACATTGCTTTCAACTACCAAGAATCCCATCTGGAAATAATCTGTAACATGATCTTAAAGTGAATCAATTCTAATTTATAATTAAGGAAACTATTTACATAATTGGTATGTATACTATCTAAATATCTACACGTATTAAAATATTTCATTTATTATTTTTATTTTATGTGTATGAGTGTATTGCTTGCATGTATGTAAGTGTACCCGTGTTGTGCAGTGCCCATGGAGATCAGAAGAGGATGTCAGATTGCCTGGAACTGGAGTTATGGATGGTTGTCCGCCATCAGGTAGGTGCTGGGAACTGAACTTGGATCCTCTGCAAGAGCAGCCAGTGCTCTTAACCTCTGAGCCATCTCTCCAGTCCCCCTTGGTTATATTTTATAATTTAGTAATCATCTAAATTTTTGTAGGAATTTGCATTTTTATTTTTTAAAATTATATCATATGCTATAAGCACACTGTTAGAAATCTTATGGTCAAAAGTTCTTTCCAAGAGTTTCAAATTGGCATGCATAAGAATGAATACTAACTTTCAAAAACACCAAAATACTGGAAGTTTCCTACTTCTGTTTGGATTTGTTCTAGAATTTCTGGAGATAACACATTTTATACTGCTATGTATCTACTTCAAGTTCCAGATGAACCTTTTGAAGCTGTTCTTCGTTATATATATTTTTTCCTTTTCTATATTATGCTATTGATTTCCCACATGTGTACAGTACAATGTTGAGATTTCATGAATCAATAATCTGACTTCAGAAGACTCATCATACTCTGTGATATTGCTGTTGGTGACCCTTTCTTGGTCTGGAATATTAATTACAGCTTACCAAAAACCTAAGTGTGTATTTTTGTGTTTTTTCTAAGAATGCCTGATTCATATTTGAAGCATTTATTTGAATTAGAAGTTGAGACCTAAGAATAGCATGCTCTTGACCTAACTTTGCTATTTCAGATTTTCTGAAGGCCAGTCAGGACAACTGGTGAACTTGGGGAAGTTGAAAGTGAGGTCTAAGCCATTTGCCCCATGAGGATACATTAAAGTACTGCCTCGAGAGCAGTACCCAATCTTGAAACAAGCTTCTCAATTCTTTTTTACCACGCCTGGCTTATTATTTTTATTTTATGTGTATGCGTGTATTGCCTGCATGTTATAGGTAAATGCACCTGTGTTATGCAATGCCCGCGAGGACAGAGAGGACGTCGGATCTCCTGGAACTGGAGTTACAGACAGTTGTTAGCTGCCATGTGGGTGCTGGGGTTTGAACCTGGGTCTTCTGCAAGAACTACCAGTGTTCTTAATTGCTGAGCCATCTCTCCAGCCCCAATCATAAAAATTTTTAAAAGGGACGTACAGATATAGGTAGAGACTGAGGCTAAAGCAATCTGGGCTTAAATAGATTCAGTTTAAAGTTTTACCTAAACTGCCCAAGGGCTATATATATTTATATAATAAATATTTGGCAATGCTGTCATTAGCATGTAGACAAATATTTCAAAGTTTATCTATAATATTATGTAGTTATCTATTAAGCTGGTTACTTTGCATAAAATATCTTGTTTATCATAATAAAATCATCAAAATTGAAATTACCTTTAAAAAAAAAAGAATACTGGAGTTCCTACAGAGTAAAATTTGCTGTAATGCTAATAATTAGTAGAGAGAGCACCTATTTTATTCAGCTTCTAATATCTATGTTCATCTCACTTTACAATGCTTTCACAGTCTTTCAAAAAATTGCTTTAAGAACTTGTGTATTGGGAGACACGGGTCCCATAGTGACAAAGTGATTGTGCAGCATATGCAAAGCCCAGGGTTCCATTTCCAGAGCTGAAAAGAACAAAAAAAGGCTATGAAATGCGTCTTCTGGGCATGGCACAGCTAATGCAGTAATGACCTCACAGCAGCTGTGACTACCTACACTGTGCCTACACAAGACTGTGTCTATCAGCAGTTAACTGTTAACCAGAGAGCAGATCACAGGGTCTTACCCATCTCTGCTAGACTACTAGCTACTGATGGGCTCTCACGGAGGGTTAGTCATTGTCCTCAGTTGCATACACACTGAGGAGTCCACCAGGCCCCAATGGGTAGTAAACCCACGGTCACACAAAAGATCCTGGTAAAACTCACTGGGTCTCAATAAAACAAAAACAGCAATACAAATAGAGACAAAAACCAAAAAGACATGAATATGGGAAAGGAACTCATAGGGAAGAGGGTGGGGGTAATAGGTATAAGAGAGAGATTAGAGAGGGTGGGGCTTACCATAATCAGAATGCATGTATGAAACTGTCAAAGAGCAAATTCAACAAAAATTACTTTAAAAAATAAGAAAAAATAACGTGATATTTTTGCCATCGGTGTTAAAAAGAATATTTGGATGTGAAAAACACACTCTTATTTTATTCTAGATCCAATGCTGACATTTGAATAATCATTTCAGAGCTAGATGGCATACAACTGTAATCCCAGCTACTCAGGTGGCTGAAGCATGAGGATTAGGGGTTAGCCCAGGGAACACTGAGACACTCATAGCAAAATTAATTAAAATAAAATAAGAGAAAATACAATGGTCAGATGTACCACACATCAGAGTAGGACTGCTCTAAAATCTGATTCAGTTATCAGATGGCATTCTGAGATGAGTCTCAGACAAGTTTGGATAAACAGTGAAGGCTGATTCACTTGCATTAATGGTGCTGAAAACTTTGAAGCCTACTAGCAAAGACGAAGATGATTTAGGCTGCAGATACTTTAAATTTTTTTAATGTCATGATCACAAAGCTGAATTTAAAGTAGTAATATAATTTGATGGGTCTTCAGTCATTATAAAATCAACAACACTACAAAAAGTATAATAAAACGGCAGTATTTTGGTTTGAAATGAAATATAAACAGTCATACAAACATAATATTCAATAAAGATTTAAAATATTTTAATTTAACAAATGCATTTCATAGCCGACTTGTTTCAAATTAACCTTGTAATGTTTGGCAGTCACAAGAAATGAAGGAATTTAAAAACAGCATTGACTGGTGCCAGTGACTACAGAAGGCACTTTACATTCTATCTCATTCAATCTTTACACACTGGTGCTATCTTGCTTACAAGACAAGAAACAGAGACTTAAGAGGTTGAGTACTTCTTTTAAGGCCACAAAATTATTAGGCAGCAGAGACACATTTAACTCTAGGCTGAGTAGAAACTCTAAATTCTGCAATTTCAACTCTCTATGAACTTGCTCTAGTCACATTTCTTTAGTCAATCCTGAGAAATGCTAGAGATGATGACACCAAATCCAAGCAGCTGCGGATAGTAACACAGCTGACCATTTAATACTCAAAATAACTATTTTCTGTTTAAAACTCTATAAGGAATACTACTTTCCCACAATTTCCTTTCTGTTTTAGTGTCAGATTAATATGTAGACATGGGAGAATCCTCACACAGTCCAATCTGAAATAAAGCTACATACCTTGCTGCTTAATATTTTCCTAAAAATTTTTTAAAAATTACCTCATTTTACCAAAATTAATTTTGAAAAAGCACATAGGATACTGTAGTTGTAAGACAGAACATGGGCTATGCCAAAACTATACTAGTGCTTAGATTACAGAACTGGACCACATGCCCAGGTTTTTTTTTTGGTTTGGTCTTTTTGAGACAGGGTCTCCCTGTAGCTCCAGCTGTCTTGGAACTCACTATGTAGACCAGGCTGGCCTTGAACTCACAGAGATCTACCTGCTTCTGCCTCCGGAGTGCTGAGATTAAAGGCGTGCGCTACCATGCCCAGCTTACAATAGAATTTTTAAGTAACTATTGAAAGTATTCAAAAGCAATTGAGGGCAAATCTTGTTCTATACAATCTGGAATTTTTTTTTCTGGAGTTGGGAATATTTTTTTATAAAATTATTTATTTAATAACCACATACTTAGAAGAAGCATTTCATTACAATAGCATTGACATATTCAATAACAATTCCCTGAGTTAAGATGCATCTCTTTCAAAATTGGCTGTAAATTTTTAGGTTTACAGTTGAATTATTATGGTTATACAATATTGTACTCAGTATAAACCCTGTAAGACAAAATTAAACGAGGTTTAACCTTTAAAAAAGATCTCCATTTCATTATTAAAATACACAGTTTCATATAGAAAAATTCATTTTTAATGGAATTGACATTAAGATGTTTGCACATGCATTTCTAATCTCTATATATCTGATTATTACTAGTCACAATCGGTTACTTTCTGAGCTCCTTGGCATCTGACCATGGATATGAAATTGTCAGGTAGATTTCAACGGTAATGTTTTTCACATCTACTAATTATTAAGAAGCAAATTTTTATGCTTTGAATAATTATTATTTTTAATTAATACGGTACATGTGTTATTTATTATTTATTTTTGGTCTTTTTGAGACAGGGTCTCCCTGTAGCCCCAGCTGTCCTCAAACTTACCATGTAGACCAGGCTGGCCTCGAACTCACAGAGACCTGCCTGCCTCTGCCTCCTGAATGCTGGTATTAAAGGCATGCGCCACCATGCCCAGTCTGTGTTATTTATTTTTACTTTTAATATTTATTCATTCTATTATGTGTTTAAGCATGTGTGTGCACTCGTGTCACAGTGCATGCGTGGAGGTCAGAGGAAAACTTTGAGTCCGTTCTTTTCTTCTAGGCTTCTGAGGACTGAACTCAGGTCTTCAGGTTTATGCATCAAGAGTGCTTTTACCTGCTGAGCCATCTTGTGAACTCTACTATTGTACATGTTTAAACAACTAAGTTTCCTTGTTCAAGCAATACCCTCTATTCACTGGTACATGAATTTAAAAAGCTGGAAACTGTTAGGGTGTCAACTTGAATTGAAAATCTACAAGATTATATTTATAAATTTTACTTACATAATTTCTTATATAAAATTTCATTTGTTAAAAAAAAAAAAACAAATGATTCAAAAATGAGGTAAGTTCTTTTTTACTTTATTTTTTATTTATTTTTTGTCTTTTTTGAGACAGGGTCTCCCTGTAGCTCCAGCTGGCCTGGAACTCACTATGTAGAAGACCCAGGTTCGAATCCCATCACCTACATGGCAGCTAACAGCTGTCTGTAAACTCCAGTTCCAGGGAACCCATTAGCCTTTTCTGTCTCTGTGGACACTGAATGACATGGGTGCACTTACCTACATGCAGGAAATACATGCATACACATAAAATAAAAATAATAATTTTTTTTTTTTTGGTCTTTTTTGAGACGGTCTCCCTGTAGCCCCAGCTGTCCTGGAACTCACTATGTAGACCAGGCTGGCCTTGAACTCACAGAAATCTGCCTGCCTTTGCTTCCCGAGTGCTGGGACTAAAGGCGTGTGCTACCGTGCCCGGATTAAGTTCTTTTAAAAAAAAAAAATATTTTAGTTAAGCCGGGCGTGGTGGCACACACCTTTAATCCCAGCACTCGGGAGGCAGAGGCAGGCGGATCTCTGTGAGTTCAAGGCCAGCCTGGTCTACATAGTGAGTTCCAGGACAGCTGGGGCTACAGGGAGATCCTGTCTCAAAAAAGACCAAAAAAAAAAATTATTATTTTTATTTTATGTGTATGCATGTATTTCCTGCATGTAGATAAGTGCACCCGTGTCATTCAGTGTCCACAGAGACAGAAAAGGCTGATGGATTCCCTGGAACTGGAGTTACAGACAGTTATTAGCTGCCATGTGGGTGATGGGATTCGAACCTGGGTCTTCTGCAAGACTAGCCAGGGTTCTTAACCGCTGAGCCATCTCTTCAGTCCCAGAATGAGGTAAGTTCTAATAGCTTCTCTTCTAGGTTCTATGACCTCTTCAGCCACGGGTTCTTAGATGGGTTTATAGTACTAGGAATGAGTTTGCTCCTACTGAGTAGGCCTGAAGTCCACTCAGACAGCTGTTGGGTACCCTCAAAATATTAGTACCACTACTACACCACATACATCCTTCTTGCCAGGTTGGTCGTTCTACTACCATTTTGCTAAACTGAAATAGTATCCAACTCCCTTTGAAATACTCATCCTTACACCTATAGATAAGTGTGGTTCTCACCCCTCATCAAAGAAGCTCCTTTTTGCAACAGAAGGAAGTTGTTACAGATAATCATCACAGGTAAAGTGCAAAGAGTAAGTGACCGTGAAGTGCCCATCCTTGTAATAAGACATGTGTAAGACAACTCCTACACTAAAGGTGCAGGGAATATCATGGAGGAGGAGGTGGAAGGGTCATAAGACCAGAAGAGCAGGAGAACTGCTGTGACACAGTGTTTTCTGGACATGACAGGGATGTTGTAACCACAAACTCAATATGGTTGCCTGTACAATACCAACACCAGTTGACATTCTGGAATGGACAGGGGAAGAGCTCACAAAACCTTACTTCTAATTGAATAGCTACAGGCAGCTGATGGCCTCTAAGGAGGGAGGGTCAGTTTCCTTCAGGGACAAGTCCCCTGATAGGTTGCCCATGTCCAAGTGCTGAGTCCTATACCCATGTACATACATGCAAGAGTAACTGGACTCAGTAGGAAGAGGCTATGAATTTGAGAGAGGGATGAGGAGGCATGGAAGGAGTTGGAGGAGGGAAAGGAGGGATGGATATGATGACAGAACATTGTACTCATATATAAAATTTTCAAAAAATTACAATTAAAATTTTTTTTAAATAAAATGAAATAAAAATTTTAAGTAACAGAAGACGACAACTTTCTAAGATATATACACATTCATGTAGAAAATAGGTATTTAAAAAACCAAAATGATGGGGTTGGAGAGATGGCCCAGGTGGTTAAAGAACACTGACTGTTCTTGCAGAAGACCTGGGTTCGAATCCCAGCACCCACATGGTGACAACCAACCATCCCTAACTCCAGTCCAGGGGATCTGAAGCCTCCTTCTGTTCTCTGTGGGTATTGCACAACGCAATGCACCTACAGACATGCAGGCTTAACACTTATACACATAAAAGTAATAAAATATTTAAAAAATAAAAATTCAAAATGAAAATAATGTACATGCATGAGTAATCCACATTACAAGACCCATGTTTAGAAGTCAGTTTAATGCATAAACATACCTGCTGTTTCATAATCTTTATCTGTTCTTTTTGTTTTCGCTTCTCTTCAGCAGCCATTATTGCTATTGAGAAACGAAAGCACAGAATATTATCATATAAACAATGAAGAAGAAAAACCTCTTATGAATTTCCTAATACTTACCTTTCAAATTCATGCAATGTAAAGCACCTACCTTGTTGCTTTTTGGCTTCCTTGGCAACCCGAGCCTGTTCCTGCTTTTGAAGTTTTCTCAAAAGCTTTATTTGTGCTGCCTGTCTGGCTATTTCTGAAAAACACAAAATGTTAAAGGACATTATTAACAACTTTACATATCTGTTATACCTACAAGAATAACTGTGTGATACTCGGTCAGTATCACCATGAAGTATATAATATTTAATAAAATTAAGTAGACATACCAGGTAGGAAAACAGTTTGGTAGAAAATATCTTATTCATTTTCCCCAAGAAATGGACAAATTGGCTAAGTGTGGTGGCTCAAACCTGTAATCTCAGCACTTGGGTGGGTGGTAAGACAGGAAGATAATGAATTCAAAGTCCCCACCCACAATTTTTTAAAAAATAGCCAAATTATTTAATCAATATGATCAAACAATAACTACGTAAGTGCAATTATCTCTTACTCCTCATGGAAGTCCTCAACTAAGTTTATTTTTCAGATTTGAAGTAATTTTTACTAGTAGGAAAGTAGCTGCCAATATATAAGAATAGCAAATTAGCTTTAGTCCCCACACACATACACACACACACACACACACACACACACACACAGAGTTGAGACCTCTTGCCAAACATAGTTCAATTAGCTGCACTAGTGATTAAGTCCCCGAATCCAGTGATATATAAGGCACAGAGGCTAAAACTCTTAAATAGAATAAAGACTATAGGCCAGAGAAATAGTTTAATAGCACATGTGCATGTGCACTTATACACACATATCATCATCCTGTAGACACATGAACAATAATAAAATAAATTTAAAAAGAATGAAGAATATCAAAGAGTTTTAAGGACAATGTAGTTCTCATAATTATCAAGGACAGATGTATGAATCTGAGGGCAGAAAAACATAACTGCCCCTCTTAATTTCTTCTTGACCCATGTGACCTTTGACTCTCAAGAGATGGAATAAACTTTCTGTCCCTTGATTCTGCATTCAGTCACTTGGTCTCCTAAAGTCAAGATGATGTTAGCAGCTACAGGGAAAGCAGAGCTTGAAAAGTACGTGTGCTTGCCACTGTTGCTGCCTGTGTCTTGCCCAGTGACGTAGGGGCATGTTTGGGCTACGCTGCTGGAGACTGAGACACATGGGACCAATTGTGTCCATACATGTGAACAAGCCTAACCAACACCAACAAAGCTGCCTAGCTAACCTCTAGCTGATTCCAACACTGATCAACAGTGTCCCGTGACGCTGAAACTTAGTGATTGGTTGTTACTGTGGAACTGGATATAATGAATACAGAAACCACAGGTACCATCACTCTCCTTGCTGGCAAGCTTGATTTGAATGCTTTTAACTCTAAAAGGGATATATCATAAACTTTCTTGAGAAATAATTTTAGAAAGCAACATTTTACAATAGACATTGCTTTAAATTTTGTATCTGATGAAGACGTAAGGTACCTATAAAATATTAGTTTCTATGAATATGTATTTCTACCAATTATTGAATGGAGATAATGTATTAAATTTATATGACTTTACTTAATCTTCACAAGTACGTTGTAAGATAAGTAATATTATGCCCAGTATACAAATAAAAAGCTTAAGACTCAGGGAAGTTAAAGAGCAAAATCAAGACATAAACCCAGATTTTTCTGATTTTACAGTCTATATTTTACTATGACTAAAAATCATAACTATTCTTTGAATTGAATCCCGTTTTTCAGAAAGTTGAGTCCAAATATTCACATATTGTAAATATGAGTAATGTTTATTTATTTACTCATTTGTTTACTGTGTGTATAAGATGTGTGTATGCTATGGAGGTATGTGGAGGTCAGAGGAGAACCTTGTGGACTGAGTTCTCTCTTTCCATCTTTACATGGGTCACAAGGATAGAATTCAGGCCTGTGTGGGAAGTGCCTTTACCCACTGAGCCATACCACTAGCCTAATTATAATAATTATTTATTGTTAAATATTGAATGCGTATGGCCAGTGAGATGACTCAGGAGGTGGGGGCACTTGCTGCCAAGCCTGATGACTTGAGTTCAATCCCTAGAACCCACATGATGGAAAGAGAGTACTGGCTCCTGCAAATTTTCTTGTGATCTCCATGAATGCATAAGGCACACACCCACCACACTCCCCTCAATCAATAAATGTAAACAAATAAAAATTATCGAATTCTTATTTACATGCTGAGAAAGATCACATATGTACAATAAGGCCAAAGGTAATGGAACATGCGAAGTGTAATGTATTACAAAGGAGAAACAGGTCATGGAATAAAAATCAATTTGAAATCTAGGAGAATAATATATTATGTAAATGTAGGACAATTAAATTTTTGCAACAATAAAAATAGTTAATTTTGTAAATTAAAATTTTTGGTTTTGGATACTAAGGAAGGATACTTGTATTAGACATGAAGACATGCATAAAAAGATAATATTTTAGCTATCTCTTAATTTCAAGTACTCATTTTTTTTTTAAAGCAATGTACCTACCGTTATATACTCTTCGAAAAAAACCAATGATTTATTGACAATAACTTTTATAACTTGGGGCTGGCACAATGGCTCAGTAAAGTCAAGTCACTTGCCACCAAACCTGATGATCTGAGTTCAAACCCTAGGACCCACACAGTGGAAGGAAAGAACTGACTCCTGCAAGCTGTCCTCTGACCTCCACATGTGCATCGTGATATATGTGTGCCCATGCACATACATACACACATGCACACACACAAATTAATAAATAAAATGCAATGAAAATAATTAAAATTAGTTTAAAATTCACATATGTCTGTTAATATATTCACTGTTTTCTTTTAATCTTCACTAAGATAAATCTTCATTAAGATAAATAAAGTAACATAAAAATTGTATGTTTGGCAGTAGTTAACTTAAATGCTATTCAGTAAAATACAAATTGGTGCAACCTATTTAGAAACAGTATATTTGGTCTTTTTGAGACAGAGTCTCCCTGTAGCCCTGTCCTAGAACTCACTGTGTAGACCAGGCTGGCCTCAAACTCCCAGAGATCCACCTGCCTCTGCCTCCAGAATGCTAGATTAAAGGCTTGCACCACCACGCTTGGTGGAAGTATGTATTTATATATGTATAATATATACTTATTGTTATTTTGTGATAGCAAAGGTTCCTAAAAAGATGATATAGTCATCAAAAAGAGACTGATATGAACAATGGTAGAGAAACACATGGCATCACTTACTGCTTAGCCAGTGAAAGGCTGAATTCCTAGGTGCTACTACAGAAAGACATTCAAGAAAAAGTTGACGAAGAATAAGCTGAAAATATATATGGTCAATCTACCTATTTTAGAGGCTAAATAAGATACATGTGTAAATATGAGGTTTGAATGTGTGTGTCTACACATTTCTGGAAAAATTAATAAAAACTTGTTATTGACTTCACTGATAAATGAAAATGAAATTTTAAAATTATTTTTTTAGATATTTTATTATTTTATTTTATGTGTACAAGTGTTATGGCTGCATGTAAGTAAGTGCACCTGTGTCATGCAATGCCCATGGAGGACAGAAGAGGCTGTTGGAACCCCTGGAACTGGAGTTACGGACAGTTGTTAGCTGCCATGTGGGTGCTGGGATTTGAACCTGGGTCTTTTTAAAGAACAGTCAGTGTTCTTAACTGCTGAGCCATCTCTCCAGCCCCATAAATATTATTTTTTAAAAATATTTGAGCCGGGCATGGTGGCGCACGCCTGTAGTCCCAGCCCTTGGGAGGCAGAGGCAGGCAGATCTCTGTGAGTTCAAGGCCAGCCTGGTCTACATAGTGAGTTCCAGGAGAGCTGGGGCTACAGGGAGACCCTGTCTCAAAAAGACAATATATATATATATGTAATTTTTATTTTATGTGTATGTGTGTATTGCCTGCATGTAGGTAAGCGCACCCATGTCATGAAATGCCCACAGAGAACAGGAGAGACTGTCAGATCCCCTGGAACTGGAGTTACGGAGAGTTGTTAGCTGCCATGTAGGTGCTGGGAGAGAATTATTTTGTTCTATGAGCTTTATCCATGGATATTTGTTTTAAAATAAAAACAAAGCCATTAGAGAGAAGCCAGTATTATTATGGTATTTACAATGAATTTTTAAAAATTCATGTATTTCTCCAGGTTTTGTTGTTTATTTACAGCAATATAAAAAAATCTTGTGATGATATAAAATTCTGATAGTCTTTAAGCCAATTTTAATTATTTTTAACCTTTTATTTTAAACCATCATTTATCTGTACATATGAGCTTACAAATAGAAAACATTTACACAAGATGATATAGTCAGACAAACTAAAGAGGCTCCATTCACATTTCTAAGTAGTAACTCAAACCCCATAGAACAACACCCATTTTATTTCACTCAGCCTTCTATGTCACAGAAAGCATGGCTTCATGATGATAATTAATGTATAATTTGAACAGTAAATACACTTCAGGTTACTATGAGGACTTTGAGCTTAATAAATACACTTTCTGGTGCCCTTAGAACACTTTCTGAAATAAACCTACCATTTGAGCATTTTGAAAATCTATACTCAGACTTTAAGAGAACCCAAACTAAAAGACTGGGGTTACTTACCAGTAATTGGAGTTCTCTGACTGAAATTTTACTCCAGAGATCCACATATTTTGGAGTTATTCCCATGTACCACCTCAAGGAATCGGGAGCTGTTAAAAGGAGAATTTCCAGAAGGTTGGCACGACCTTAAGGCATGTGCCAAGTGCTGGTTGATTCCCTTTCTATACAAGCCTTAACAGCTTAACAACCCCCTTTGTAAATGTGAACACAGGATAGGATATATCTGTAAGAATGGCTCTTGAGAGATGATTACTGATTCAAAGAACTCCAGTTACTAGTGGGGCTCCCTATTCTCTCATTTTGTTCTAATTCAAACTACTTCTTTTTAGAAACCAAGGGCACTGTTAATCACTTCCAAGCAAACAAATATGTTTAGCAAATATTTTAGTAAGATTATTACAGTGCCAGATACCTTATGTTTCTTACCTTGAGCTTGTAGTTTTCTTAATAATTTTGCATCTGTGTTATCTAGGAATTCAGCACTGCCAACATTGGGAGGGCGACCTTTCCGACGTTTCATCCTGGATTCCTCTCTTGCTCTTTGTCTGTCTGGATTTGGTGGTCTTCCTCTTCGGCCTTCCATTGCTCTGATACGAGGAATTACATCCTCTTCTTTCAAAAGACACCACTGCATTCCCTTTTAATTAATAGAGGAACAGACTATTACATACAAAATAAAAATGAGGGCTCACTATATCAGAAAATTCTGGTTAAAATCATAGATTTTTTAAAAAATTTATAAAGTTGGTATAAAATTTACTTTTCAAACATTCAATTTAAATGATTAATTTTTCATATGCTACAGCTATCATTAATCTTCTTACTCAAATTACTTAAAATTTTAATTAAATATAGATATTTTCATCTGTATCTATACACATACAGATATGACTTACTTATCATTTCTGATTATAATGACCACAAAGTTGGTCATTATATCTGAAAGTGTTAGTTATATAATGACCTCCCTATAGATTGTTCTCAAAGCTTATCACTTCAAGAAAAACATTAGGCTATCTAAACAACACACAAGCCTTTCTCTTTATAGAACTACTACAGCTAATAAATGAAAATAGAATTAATATATTAGCATTTAACAATACCTGATAAATTAGCAGATTCCCTCACTTAACTCAAATGGGATACCATTCATTAAAAACAGAGACAACCAGATAAACACCAGTCTCCTAAAGGAGGTTCATATTATGATCTATAAAGTAGTATCGCTCCCACCTCCTAGGCAAACCTGGATTTCATCAAGCCTCTAGATTTAATTACAATAATTTTAAGGCAAGACCGAATGAGAAGCATCTATTAAAAAAACATGCAAAGCCCAGTCTGTAAGAAGGTCTACAAATGGCATGATTTCTCCAACAAATAAATTATGACAAGTTTAACAAACACTATAGGAAAATTAAGTAAACCTTAAAAGATCTATAAATCCCAATTTGTCAGTCTTATTTGGGGACTGATTCAAAGAAATAAATTGTTTAGAAAATTTTAACAACTGAGAATTGTAACACTGACTGACATTTGAAGGCATCAAGAAACTATGATAGTTTGTGCAACTTAATGATGGGAAGGGGGTTCTGAGAAATATATCATTAACTGACTTCATCATTGTGTTAACATCATCATAGAATGCAATTATACAAACTCAAATGAGATAGTCAACTACATACAAAGACTATGATTTTACATATATATTATATATGATAGCTATGACATAATATATATAATATATATGTTAGATATTATTATTATATATATGCCTATGGCTCTTAGTTATATGAAGAAATAATGTCAGTGTCCAATTAAATTAAGAACAAGAGAAAATAAGCAATCAAGAAATGATGAAAAATGAAGGGTTAGAGAGATGTCTTAGCACCCACAATGCAGCTGACACTTGTGCATGACTCCAGTTCTGGGGATCTGATGCCCTCTTCTGGTGTTCATGGCTACTGCCTGTATGTGGGGCACATACATACATGCAGCCAAAACATATACATAAAACAAACAAAAATAAAAAATAAATCTTAAAAAAGAGATGACACAAAATGTAGTATGAGGCTATTGCTAACAAAACATAGAATACTGCTAAATACTTCTTTTGTAAATAGTAGTATTATCTAAAAGAATAAAGGTTCCAGGGGACTATGGAACATCTCTCAAAACATCCTGTAAGTATAGTGAGTCACCTGTCCTCTTGCTCAGGAAGGACATGGAGAGCCCACGAGATGAACTTCCCTGTAGTTCCCTGTCTAGAACTACAAAGAGGAGGGTCAACTCAGAGGAAACACCTCATCCATGCTTCCAAGTGAAGCCAGACATGGTCGAGCGGGACCTTTGACTTATCTTCACATAGATGGAACTGGTAAAAGAAAGGAGCCAGGAGCTCCTCCCAAGCTCATGTGACCTTAGGTTTAAAAATAAATTGATTTATTTGGGCCAACTGTATGGTCTTAAACACCCAAAAGGAAAGTATAACCAAAGAGTAAAGTCATCAGTATATTTCTTTAAGACGTCAAGGGATTACACTTCCCAAGTCTATATAAAAATGTTATTTAGACAATTATTTCTCATTGATGATTTTGTTCCTAACCAGAAAGTGCTGCTCACATGTAAGACTTCAAATCTTGGTTTCCAATACTGTAGTGCCCACCTGTAGCTAAGGTAAACAACCAGCTATTGTTCTAAAATGATGGATAAGTTTGTTTTCTCCCCCTATCTAGAAGCCTTTGAGAGGGAACTGACTGATTCTAACCACTCCAAGAGCTATCAAAATAACAAATCAAATCCTGAATCCATCACTCCAGAGTCCAGCCTTGGCAGACAAAAGAAAAATGAGGAACCAACCAATAGAGGGATGCTTTTGGAAGCCCTTGTCAAGAAATTCCAATGGATTCTCATATGAACATTTGGAAATTGCCCTGTTCTGACTTTTTTCTAGTTCCCTGTCTAGAACTTGTAATGCTAATTACTCTTGCCTTTACTTCTCCTTCACACCTCCTATTCACCAGTCAAGGACTTTCTTTTCCCCCTAGAGATAAGAGTTATGCAATTTGGGAGTCTTTTAGATAGACCCACTGAAGGGTTACTACAAATGCCTCACCCTGCATCCGTGTTCAGCATGGAAGAGCTGCCAGAGCAGTCTGCATCCTGATTCCCTATTGGCAATTTGGGTAACCTCTTCAGAGGATGGTGAGATAAGAATAGGAGGTAGGAATTGGCTAGGCAGTTAGGGTAAAAAGACCCCAGAGAAAAGTAGCCAGTTTCCTGGCTAAAACTCACAGTGCCCTTGGGCCTCTTCCAAAAGCCAAAAATGTCGAAAATATTTGGGAGCTTGTATCTAATCCTTAAAAGATTTTAGGGTTACCTCTTCGGAGGAGGGAATGTTAGAGTAGCCAAAAGCCCCATAAAAAAATAAATCAAAGAAGGAGTACATGAAGGTATCAAAAAAACTGATGGAGAGATATGGGAGGAGTTGGAGGGGAGGGAGTGGGCATGGACTTGATCAAAACACCTTATATGCATGTATGAAATTCTTAATAAAGTATGTATTTAAAAAACAAAGAGAATAAAGGGACAGTACAGCAACTATAGACCCATAACACTGCCATATAAGACCATGATTAAGTATAATTAAATGTGCTATACTTTTTATATCACTGGCAACATAGGGTTATCTTAACCAGCATCATCACAAACATAAGACTAATGTGTTGTTTTATGATATTCCCATAGGAATTTTTCAGTTCAATTAAAATCTTCAGGAATCATCATCAAGTATATGGTCCATAGTAGAAGAAAACTTTTCTATGCAGTTGCATGAAAACATATATATCACAGTACCAGACAAGGAAAACCTCCATTTGAGTTGTTGGTCAGTATAGTCAAACAACTCCCAAAATAATAAAATCAAGGGCTATTGTTACAGCCATTGGTTGCCTCCCAGAACTTGAAGGTAAGACGCTATTGGTGAAGACATGACATATTCACACACAAGACTTAGAGCAACTGAGCTGGAATACATCTGGAAGCCTCCGCCCTGAAGACTAGCTCTCATAATATCAGAAGATATTATGTAAGCCTCCAAGGGAGAAAAACCAATCAATGGTCTGACCCAGCTGTAAGCCTATCAACCAAAACAGTGACTGGTGCAACAAATTATCTCTATTGGTGTAATAATAGTACTTTTATTTTGGGGGTAATCAAAAGCTGTCTAATTGGATTTACAGCTCACTCAGTAGGAGGGAATTCATGCCTGGTGCTGTATACATAGCCAAGTACACATTGCTAGAGAGGTCAAAGGCCACTAGAGGAAAACATACTTCTGTCACTTCCTCAGATCAATGCAATTTCTTACTATATTCTAAGTAGGTATCCTTTATGTTTATGCTGTGACCTGAGACTTTAACAGCTAAGACATCCCCCTACCCCAAATATGTATCCTTATAGCTACAGACAAGTATACCTCTTACCATTCATCAAAGAAATCTTTTTTTTTCAACAGAGATTATTATGAAGTTCCATAACTGGTCAAATACAGAGAATAAGTGTCTATGAGGTGTACAGTCCAAAGTATTATATCTACAATGCAATCTCTATACCTAAGGCTCAAGAAACATTTTAGAAGAGGGGAGGTAAAACGAATATAAGAACCAGAGGCACAAGATACCTGATGTAGTTAATGTATTCTACAAATGATAGGGCAGCTATACAATAAAATCTCCACAGTACGGTAGTCTAACAAGATCTGCATAATGACAACGCCAGTTGACATGCCAAGGTGGATGGGAGGAATGTCACAGGGTTATACCTCAGCATGAAGAGCTATAGGATCAACAGATGTTGAGGGAGAGAAGATCAGTTTTCTTCAGGAAATAGCTCTCTGACAGGTTATTTAATCCCAAGTATGTAGCCTAAACAGATAGACGTGAGCATCACTAAATGGACTCAGTCCATTTTATATATGTATATTTGTATACATGTGTATACAGATGTATAAATGCATGTATGTATGTTACAATAATATTCAGAGAACAAGAAATTGAGAGGGGATGGGGAGACATGAGAGAAGTTGGAGGGGGGTGGAAGGGATGGAAATAATGCAAAGACAATAGTCACATACGAAATTCTAAAAACATTACATTAAAAGATTTATTTTTAATTCTGTGTATGTGTCTGTGTGCAATGAGTGCAGGTGCCTGTGGTGTCCAGAAGGGGGTGCCAGATCCCATGGAACTGGCATTACATATAATTGTAATTTGCCTAATGTGAGTGCTGGGAACTGAACTTGAGTCATCTGCAAGAATAGTAAGCATTGTTAATGCCCGGCACATCTCTCTAGCCCTGTATGATTATGATTTTAAAGTATAATAATGGTACTGCTGTTAAAGAGAAAAGAGTCATTATCTTTCAGAGATATAATATCTTTTACAGATGAAATATAATATATATGGTTGGATCAATGCAATGCCAATCAAAATCCCCATGACATTTTTCACAGAATTGGAAAAATCTATCCTAAGATTCATATGGAAGCACAAGAACTAAGAGCAATGCTGGGGGGATTACTATACCAGATTTTAA